ATGTCATGCTGGGTAGGGTGGAGGGTCAGAGAAGAGGAAGACCCCCAACGAGATGGACTCAGGTGTGGCGGCGGTAGTGAGGTTGGCCCAGGATTGAACATTGTTTCGTTCTGCTGTGCATGGGGTCGCTATGAGTCGGTTCCGACTCGATGGCACCTGACAACAACAACAAAAGTTTTGTCAGAACTGTATCTATAACTTTAAGAAAAATGGAATTCTTTCTTATGAATAAATGCCTCTAGGAGAAAGAGATCAGTGCCACTTAGTAACCAAGTATAGAAAGCTGACAGTGAGGGGTTCATCAATTCATTATGATCCTATATTTAATTTAATCAAGTCCTAGTGTGGTGCTGTATGATAAGCACTCTACCTCATGATCAGTGGTTCAAATTTATTAGCTGCTCCTTGGAAACCCTATACAGGGTCACTATGGGTTGGAACTGACTCTATGGTTGTTTGTTGTTGTTAAGTGCCATTGAGTCGGTTCTGATGTTCAGTTGTCCTTACATACTTGGTCGTGACATGGTTTTCTTTTGTACTACATTGTATCCTGTTGGCTATAATTTTGTTAAGAATTTTTACAACTTTGTTCATGAAGGATATTGATCTATAATTTCAGATTTTAGCGGTGTCTTTCCTTGGCTTTTGTATCAGGGTTTTGTTAGCTTCATAAAATAAGTTTGGGGTTATTCCATCAATTTCTATGTTCTAGAATAATTAGAATGAAAGAAATTAAACTAAAGAGCTGAACAGAACATTTCAAAAGGCAGCTCAAAAGACTAAGTCAAGTATTATAGTGAAATGTACACAGACCTGGAGTTAGAAAAACAAAATGGAAGAACACGCTCAGCATATCTCAACCTGAAAGAACTGAAGTAACAATTCAAACCTCGTCTTGTAATATTGAAGGATTCAATGTGCTTTTGCTCTACACTATAAGCACAGGATGGCAAACCACAAGGTCCATAGTTGAAGCCCATCAGCAACTCCATGGGAAAAAGACAAAGCTTTCTGCTGCTATGAAAATTTAAAGCCTCGAAAGTCTTTTCTTTACAGGGTTGCTGTCAGTCAGAACTGACTTCATGGTTGTTGTTGTTGTCAGGTGCCATCGAGTTGGAACCAACTCATAGCGACCCCATGCACAGCAAAATGAAACAATGTCCGATCCTGGGCCAACCTCACTACCGCTGCCACGCTTGAGTCCATCAATGATGCCATCTGGCCAATCCATCTCGTTAGGGGTCTTCC